TCTTAATAATTCAACATTTGCGTTGGAAATCATGCTTTATAATAACGATATATTATAATATATTATTATTATTATTATTATTATTATTATTATTATTATTATATAATTTATAAATATATATTAAATCCCTTAGCATAATGTTGTTCGCCTTTTTAACCCTATAAAAATAGATTTTACATTAAATAAAATTATAATTTAAGTTACTTTACTAATATATAGGATGTTGAAAATAGTTAATAAATTTCCTCTTACTAAATTATTCCTTATTTGAACTAAGTAAGAAGTTGTAGTATTTAGGACTTTTAAATCAATTAAAATTATACCTTACATAAAGCATTAGAAAGAAAAAACTGCCAATAACCCAAAATGAGGAACTAAACCATACACCATTGGGAAAGAGTAATGACGACTCAATAACTCATTAAAAAAATAAAAGGATTAGTGATACATTAAGTTCTTAAAAAAATTACTAATTGTTACTAATTTAATTAAATAACTTTATTATATTAGACCAACGTAATGTTGCTTGTGTCATTTGGGAAATGAACAAATATATTGAATCAAATGCAACAAAGTTAAATAATGGAAACCACAATAAACATGAACAAGAATTTCAGGTAAAACTAGTTTGTGTAGTATATCTCACATTGTAATATTTAAAAACAACATTAAATAAGTAGAACAAATAACTATGAAAATATTTAAGAATATTTAGAGAAAGAAAAGTGGTTGGCAATAGTCAAAAACACGAATGATTCTGCAAACGGATAATATCCAAAAGTTAAATGCCAGGTTGATTTTTTATGTGAGATAGAATTCTTATTAGTTAAAATTTTAACTAGAGCTAAATGTTAAAAACTTGTGATAGAGCTATTATTAAGAATTCAAATCAATAAAAAGATAAGTTATTATTGATTTACTTCCATGGATAAAGTCTCCTGAAGTTTTGGACAAAGAGCCCGTTCGGATTAGCTGATTTGAAGTAGCTGAAAAGCACTTTTAAGTGTTGAAACTGATTTAATAAATAAGTAGTTACGTGTTTGGGTACAAGTGTTGAAATTGATAATAAGTTGCTGCAGTAATTGATAAAAAAGTGCTGATAAGCTCTTTTTCTGTTAAAATGAGTTAAATAACCTTAGAATTGTTTACACTTATACGGGCGTAACTTCTTCAAAATTTTAGATTCCAGATCGATTCAAATACAAAATATTTTATTTGTCATTTTATTTTAAATACAACTCTGCTTAGATAAGATAATTTTTATGAAATATAATTTATTTTATGGTAAGCATATAATCATAAGTTATAATAATTATTCCTCCCATTCCAATTTATGTGAACCTGTTTGACTGGGCACGGAGTTTAAGAAAAAATGAAGACTTTTGAAATTTGTGGTACTAAACAAGTCAACAAGGGGCTCAGAGTATTTGTGTGGTTATAAAACCTTCTCATTAAAGGTTGAATTGTAAGTTTAAGCTAAATTGTACCAAATTTAGAAAGGGGTCATTCTTTTTGGAATAGACCAAAAAGGATATAGGTTCGCATAAACTGGAACAGAGGGAGTAATAAATCGACAAAAGTTTCTCAGTAAAAAATAAACCTAAATAAGACAAAATATTTGAAGAGTAACAAACACCGTATTCATCACCATAACACTTAGAAAGCTATACACCAAAAATTTAATATGTCCTCATTTATTACATACAGTTCAAAGATTAATACATAATCTTATAGATTCAAATATGCAAAGGAATAAAGAATTTGCTTATCTTAAATAGTCAATGAGAATAAAATCCTTGAGGCAGTGAATATCTATGTATGAGTTTTTTTCTAAAAAGGAATATTTTAAGGATAAAATAGTAAAAATCTTAGTCAAACTTAAAGTACTTATAAGCTAAAAATCAATAAGCTTGGGGTGACCAGCTTATGACTTTTGGCATATTTTTAACTTATAAGCACTTTAACTTTACCAAACGCGTAGATAAGCCGAAAAGTGATTATAAGCTAGTTTGACCAGCTTATAAGCTTAGCCAAACACCCTCTTAACCCTGAGCAGTCCAGGCCTACTCAATCAGAGTTAGTGGTGCAGCCTTCTGGGAGTACGTTTTTAGTAAGGCAAGGTCATCAACAGACACAGGAGAAGGATAATGGTTTGTTTCAATTTGGACAGTATCCGAGATGTAATGCATGTGGTAGGAACCACTATGGACGTTGCTTTGGTATTGTCGGTGCTTGTTTTACTTGTGGTGAAAAAGAACATATCGCTAAATATTGTCCGAATGGTAATTCTGGTAATAATCAGGCTGCTATACATTCACAAGGAACAGCTATAGTTATGAAGACCCAAACTCAACCAGCTAGAGTCGCTCCACAAGGTGCCTGTGGACATAATAGACAAGGTGCTCGAGGTATTCAGGAAACAGGTGGACCACCGAGATTCTTTGCAATGACCAGAGAGGACGTTGATGCTTCTAATGTGGTAGTCACGGGTATTATTATTGTCCATATGGTATTCGTATATGTCCTTATCATTAGCTTTAAATTTAGAACGGGGAATCGAGTCTCTTAATGTGCCATACGTGGTGACGATCCTAGTGGGGAGACTATATATGTGGATAGAGTATATAAAAAAGTTGTGATATTTGTTCAGGGAAAGGACATCGTAGTCGCTCTGCTAGTATATCGCCAATATCTGACTTTAATGTGATTAGGTGCATAGACCGATTGGTATCGTGCTATGCGATGCACGATTGTTAGGTAAAGGATATTAGATTTATAGTTTCTCGTGGTCTTAGAATAATAATGAAGGGTATTCACGATTGAAGTGGGCGAGAAAGTTTCTTATATGAAAGTTTTACATAAAATGAATAGAAAGTGTTCAACATATTTAACTATGAGTTAAACACTAGTAGAGATTCTGACTGTTGGGATAGTTATGGTTGTTAATAAGTTACCAAAAGAGTTACATGGGGCGTATGTAGTGTGATATGAAAAGACAAGATGAGCGTAACGATGAAGTATTCATATCTCTATTTTCTACAATATAGCTTGCTTAACATTCGAGGAGGAATGTTCTTCTTAGTGGGGGAGAATGTAATAACCCAATTTTTTTATATACTTATTAAATGGTGAGATTTAAGAATTTGTTTAGTTTGTAGCTATTGAGACAGATATTAAGTAAGTTAAAGGGAATTTATAATATATAAAATATTGTACTAAATAAGTGTCTAGTGGCTAACTTTTTAGCTATGCTTATATAGTTAACTATGGTTAATTTTTAAATAAGGAGTAGTAGGCCAAGCCCATTCTTTTGTGGCTGCTATAATTTAGTGAAATGGAGCTACAGCGTAAAAAAGGAAAAAAAAAATAGAAAATATAGCATGATTTAGTCTTGGAGATTTGGCGGCAGCACCTTTGAGGAAAATAAATATTTAGACGCTTTAGCATTGGGAGAAATCTACGAGTGCTAATGGCATTTGCATCTATACCCGTTTTTTGTGCCACATTTTAATTTGTGCCCGCTTTGCAAAAAAAATTGCAAGCGTACCTGCTTTTTCACATAACTTCAGCACACGGGGCTGAAGTAGCAAAGGCAATCACGCAAAACTTCAGCATTTTAGTAGTCGGGCCTGAAGTTCAGCTCTAGAGCTGAAGTTTTTGTGTTGTAACTGGGAAACTTCAGATGAGCTGAAGTTTTTGAGTTGTAACTTGGAAACTTCAGCTCTTGAGCTGAAGTTTCTGTGTTGTAACCGGGAAAGAGCTGAAGTTTTTGTGTTGTAACCGGAAACTTCAGCTCTTGAGCTGAAGTTCCGTTTATCTCTTCCATTTCCTTGCCATTTTACAGAAAATTTCAGTCAGATTTAGGAGGTATTGCAGCAACCATTTGGGTATTAGCTTCTTGATTTTATCACAGCCGAAAAGTTCAAGGCGACGGAGATGGAAAAAAGTTCCAGCTGAAGGCAAAAAATCTCCTAACTCCATCTTAACAAGACCAGTGAATCCTTTTAAGTGATGCAAACTCAATTCCTTATGATACGTGAGTTCAAGAGGTGCCAACATTCCTTCACTTACTGAGTTACGTAACCTAATTAAGAACTCTATACCATTACAATAGTGAATTTCAATTTTCCTCATCTATTACCACATAAAAATTAAAACTGGAAAAAAAAGGTTAACTTTTGGACTAAAACTAATAACTGGAAAAAAAAAAAAAGAAGAAGAAGAAGAAAACGAAGGAGGAGAAGGAGGGGGAGAAAGGAGCTGAAGTTTTTTAAAAAGTGGGTACAAGTTAAAAGTTTAAAAAAAAAATGGGTATAGGTTAAATGGGAGCGACCAAATAGGGCGCCCCATGCAATTTTTACGTACTAAGGACGTTGNCGAACTCTAGGGGGTATAGGAGAAGGTTAGATTAGGATTACTACTACTTTCACCTTTACACTTTTTTACACTTTTTTAAACATACCAAATACATTTTAGGTAGACCATAGATTTAAAATACGAAACTAAATTAAAAAAGCTAACACAAATATTACACACACAAATGAAATACGAAAATATAACACGTAAAGTAAACACAAAAATTAAGCACTAAAATGATAAGAAAAAATTATATATTAAAATTAGGAGATGGAACGAGTGCACCGTGATTGAATATTGAAACTTGAAGAAATTGCCCGAAATATTGCTCCAAATACTTGACGAATTAATTTGAAGCTTGAAAGTTGCTCCAAAAAATTTGCCCAAATACTTGAAAGTTGAAAGATATCACTTGATAGTAACAATATTGAAAGATATCTTGCGAGTTGAAAACTACAAACTTCAGATCTACTGCTACAATGGCCTTCCGCAAGTGTGATGTTTCATGCAAAGATGCTACTGTTGCCGCATCCGCTGAGCTCAGTCATGTTGGCCCAATCACTTGAAGCAAGTTCAAGGCTAGTGGCTTGGATGGGTCCGAATACTTCGCCCCCTTGGAGATGTCAAAGAAAAGCAGATCTCATATGACGTTCGCAACCGCAATCTCTGGGGGCAACACCCCATTCTCGCAGTTTGACGAACTTTCTCAAACAGCCTCAAACCTTGGCGGATTTGAAGATTTGGTAGATTCTTCAGTTTCAACAAAAGTCAATGCATTGATGACTGACGCAACTAACGTGGACGAAAAGTTTGCCATGATGGAACAGACTATAGAGGTCTTGAAGAAATCTGTTGAAGACAAGGACCTTCAAATCACTCAACTCATGAACAAATTGGAGGCCTATGCACCTGGAGAGTCGAGCCATGTCCCTCCTCGTTCACCTGTCTTTACCTCCCAGAAAACAGCTGTTGAGGAATCATTTGCAAAGTTAAACATTCAAAAGGAAAAGCAATCTACTTCAGTTGCGGCGTTATCTGTCCAACAATTGCAAGACATGATAACAAACACCATTAGAGCTCAATATGGCGGACCATCGCAAAATTCGTTGTACTACTCTAAGCCTTATACTAAGAGGATTGATTGTTTAACCATGCCAACCAATTATCAACCACCAAAGCTACATCAATTTCATGGCAAAGGGAACCCAATGCAACATATTGCCCACTTTGTCGAGACTTGTAGCAATGCTGGAACGCATGGTGACCTATTGGTAAAACAATTTGTTCGTTTCTCTGAAAGGGAACACATTTGACTGGTATATTGACTTGGATCCCGAGTCCATTGATAGCTGGGAGCAACTTGAGAAGGAATTCCTCAATCGTTTTTACAGTACCCGAAGAACTGTAAGCATGATAGAGTTGACATGCACCAAGCAAAGGAAGGACGAGCCCGTGGTGGATTACATTAATCGTTGGAGGGCGTTAAGTTTGGACTGCAAAGATCGCCTTTCAGAAATATCTGCTGTGGAGATGTGCATTCAAGGAATGCACTAGGGCATTTTGTACATTCTACAAGGGATCAAACCGCGAACTTTTGAAGAACTTGCAACACGAGCGCATGACATGGAGTTAAGCATCGCAAGTCATGGAAAGGCATCTCCATTTGCTGATCAAAAGGAGTTCAAGAAAAATGTTGCATCAAAGAACCAAACCAAAGAATCAATGGCGGTGAAAGCAACTTCTGTGAAGGTCACTACTAAGCAAAAAGTGAAGGAGGATAAGACCCCGAGTCAATATCCCAAAGAGGAGAAGCGTCGTCCCACCTTGAAGGAATTAGAGGCGAAGGTTTATCCATTTCCAGATTCAGATGTACCCACAATCCTTGATGAACTGCTGGATAAGAAAGTCATCGATCTCCCTGAATCAAAAAGGCCAGAGGAAATTGGCAAAGTTGGCGATCCGAAATACTGCAAGTTTCATCGCGTCATTAGCCACCCTACAGAGAAATGCTTCGTCTTAAAGGAGAAAATTATGGCTCTTGTAAGTGAAGGAAAAATCATCATAGACATGGATGAAACAGCAGAAGCAAATCATGCAAGTATCGCGCTCAAGGAAAAGAAGTGTTCAAAGTTGCATAACGTGTCAAGCACTGCCTTCTTACAATTTGGAAGTTTCGAGCCCGTTGAAGTTGTTCTTCCAAGGAAAACTCTTGAAGGTTCACTAGAGCTAGACAATCACTCCAAAGACAAAGACGATGAGGGTTGGATTCTAGTCACTCACAAGAAGCGAAAACATCAGGCAGTTTTGAGGCTACGAATTCCTAATTCAAGAGCGATGATGAGCAATGCAGATAGGCTACAATCACCAAGAAATATCAAATCTTCTACTAGAAAGAATATTAATAGTGCCTTATCGCCGAAGTTCCGAAAGCCCATCACATTGCATGAATTCTTTCCGGGAAAATTCCTTCATGGAGGTCACGTTAGTGCAACTCATGTAGTTTCTAGTACTGACGAAACAAAGGAAAGCAACGATGAGCCTACTCCAATGAAAACACAAGAACATCATGATAACGGAAAAGTTGTCACATGTTGTGCAACAATTTCATTCACAGATGATGACTTGCTGCTGGGGTCTAAGCCACATAACAGACCTTTGTTTGTTGTAGGGTCCATTCGGGAACAACATCTCAATCGCATACTTGTTGATGATGGTTCGGCTGTCAACATCATGCCAAAGATGGTGCTAAAAAAGCTTGGGATCTCTATCGATGAGCTATCCAAAAGTAACCTAACAATCCAAGGTTTCAACCAAGGAGGACAACGAGCCATAGGTATGATCCGCGTAGGATTATCCATTGGTGAGATGAATTCAAACACCCTGATTCACGTCATAGATGCTAAAACATCATACAACTTGTTGCTTGGACGTCCTTGGATTCATGAGAACGGGGTGGTATCATCTACTTTGCATCAATGTCTGAAATACAGAAGAGATGGTGAGATAGTCAAAATTGATGCATACATCAAGCCTTTCACCGAGACGGAGTCATACTTTGCAGACGCAAAATTCAACCTTGATTCTTGTGAACCGAAAGTAGAGAAACCGTCATCAAATGACGAAGATGATGCCAAGTCAGAAGGGGAAAACAAGGCTCAATGGACTACCACCAAGGTTCCTAAGAAGGGAACGGAAGAAATCTCCATTAAGCTATCATCATCTGAAGGTGACATACAGACAAAGACTGGGGAGCATCTGGTTTTTCGCTATGTTCCACGTGAGCGTCGAAAGAAAGGGCAACCTTTGCTACAGAAATGTACTCCAAAGAAGCAAATGATTCACAAAGATATCCAACATTTGAAGGAGCATATGAGTGTCCCAGTTGCACAAATCCCATCCGTGACTTGTGAGTCTGCTAAAGGCAATCTCCAAGCTGATAAAATAAAAGGGCACTATGATCCTAAGGCCTTCATACTGCTTGAAAAGTCTGGTTATGACTTCTCCAATCCATCACAACTAGGAGAACTCAAAGACGAAGTCACTGGTGAAAAGATACATGGGCTCAGTGAGTCCCAAATGAAGTTGAGAAAACAAGGGCACTAGGTCGCCACTCCAAAGTTTGGGTTGGGGTTCAGTTTGGCAGAGCCTCTTCGAATTTCATCAAAGAGAAGCAAAGAGATAGCTTCATCACAATACACCTCGGTAGAGGAGATGAAGGAAGTTAAGGGCAACAAAATAAAACAACGGGCTTCAGTATTTGATCGCATTGGAGGCTCAACCCCTTCGGACTCGGTGTTTGAAAGGCTAAGTCACAAAGGTGGACGTGTATCTTCCAAACATCTAAAAGAAGTTTCCACTACCTCAAAGACCTCTGTCTTTTGTCGCCTAGGGACCATAAGGAAGTTGCCATCTAGAAAAATATTGTCAAAACATAAAGAGCAAGTCCATGAGGAGCGGGATCATTTTGAAGTTGTTGCTGACAAAAAAATCTGTAGTGCTTTCCCATCACGTATGAAGAGGAAGTCTATTTTGTCAATATCCACAGATGGTCCGCTGAAGGTGCAAAGGAGAATCATTGTTTACACTTACCAGCCTCGTAAAGAAGCAAAGAAAGAGAAAGAAGTCATGCCGACCATCCAAGGAAGTCAAAGAGAAAAGTTAGACTTTGTGGAAACATCCTATCAAAGTTGTGGAAACATCCAAGAAGGGCTCACATCCGAAGAGAATTGCTCAACTTCGCCTAGCAAAGTTAGAGGCCTTGGATGAGAAAAGATTAGAAGCACAACAAAAATTGGAGTGCTATCAAGCTCGACTAGCTAGAGCCTTCAACAAGAAAGTGCGGCCACGATCATTCCAAGTGGGAGACTTAGTCCTAGCTGTTCGATGACCCATAATCCTCAACAAACGCATAGGCGACAAGTTTACCTCAAAATGGGATGGTCCATATGTTGTGAAGGAAGCCTATTCAAGCGGCGCATACAAAATTGTCGATAAGGACGGTCTCAGAGTTGGTCCGATCAACGAAAAATTTCTGAAGCAGTACTTCCCAAGAAAGTCGCCTACGCTCCTCGACGTACGAGCCTAAACTGCAAGTCATGACGCTCCTTGATGCATGAGCTTAAGCTGCACGTTGCTACACTCCTGGCCCGTATGAGTCTAAACTGTGTACGGCCAAAACAAAAAACAAAACAAAAAAACAAAAAAGTCCGCTAGGTTGAAAACCTCGCAAGAGGCGGCCTAGGCAAAAATTAGGACACAAAAAAAAACTCATCCCTCTGAACTACGTCATGACTTGATCCTCTTCACCGAGTTACGTAGGCAGCTTAGACTTTCATTCTAAGTTCAGTCACATGAGTTTTAAAAAAAAGGTTTGGCATCATGGGATCATCATATTAATTCTTTCAAATTTAAAGGCATATTTAATTGAGGAAAAGAAGACAATTTGGTGCCGAGGCATAAAAGATATTTCACTACTTCAATATTGAAAGAGTTATGTACATCAATGTTAAAAGCAGAATGAGACATCATCCTATACAAGGAATCTAAAGTTATGTAAACGATCGAAAGATAAGCATGGTTGCCAACTCATTCATGACTTCTCCATATGATGGATCATCCTTGATGGCGTGCCCATGACATTAGTAGCTTTCATAATCCTTTAACTATGTGTCTTGTTGTTAAGTCGTGGGCGCAATGGTCTACTTCTTCTTTTGTTTGAAGTTCCCATACATGAGCATGTACCTCTCTCTCAAAAGTTGCATCATTAGTGAGCACTTTGGGCAAGCTTCATGGATATCAAAACTTTAAGTATACACAACTTTTGGGTACTTCCACATGATAGTCTCTCTGCAACGAGTTCGTCTTTTGCATGAAGATTTTGCTTGTCGATTGTTGATCAAAACATCAAAATATCCACATCTTGTGTACCTTCTTTATCTGAGACATTTTGAGCTCCTTCGCAAGTCTGCAAAAGAAATAAACAAGGAGATAAGATTCATGATGATATCCAAATCCATTACAAGGCCATAGAATCAACTGCAAAAATATTTGTTAGGCTAACTAAGAATGAATGGATCCTTCATCTTCAACAAGATTATAGTTCTTGGTGTCCGAATTTCATAGGGTCAAACTGTTGGTGATTCCGACGCTCCTAGTTCAAGATACGGTTTTTCTCGCCGAAAGTACGCAAACCTGAAAGTTTCCTGCGGTCAGTTCGACTTTCAAGATTTTTCTGTTTCCAGCCCTGAAGGATCCCTGCCATGAAATTTATATGCGATTCAGATCTATGAGTTTACTTTCTAACGGCGAAACGGATCGCATTTTGGAGATTACTAGCTCGAGATATGAATTTTTCTACTGGAGCGCGCAAAGCTGAAAAACAGCAAGGAAAACGTCTAGATCAATTTCGAGAGATTGCTGCGGCCAATCTAGAAGGAATACTTCTGTGATATTTTGAGGATTTTCTTATATCTGAGTCTTCTTTCCAGTGGCACAAACGGCTCATGATTTCGATGTTCTTGGCTCAAGATACGATTTTTTTGCACCGGAACTACATGAATCTGAAAGTTTACTGCAGCAAGGTGGATACCTCGCAAGAGGCGGCCTAGGCAAAAATTAGGATACAAGAAAAAAAGAGAGAAAGAAAAAAACTCATCCCTCTGAACTACGTCATGACTTGATCCTCTTCACCGAGGTACGTAGGCAGCTTACACTTTCATTCTAAGTTCAGTCACATGAGTTTAAAAAAAAAGGTTTGGCATCATGGGATCATCATATTAATTCTTTCAAATTTAAAGGAATATTTAATTGAGGAAAAGAAGACAATTTGGTGCTACATCAATGTTAAAAGCAGAATGAGACATCATCCTATACAAGGAATCTAAAGTTATGTAAACGATTGAAAGATAAGCATGGTTGCCAACTCATTCGTGACTTCTCCATATGATGGATCATCCTTGATAGCGTGCCCATGACATTAGTAGCTTTCATAATCCTTTAACTACGTGTCTTGTTGTTGATAAAGTTTATCCATCCTTTTTCAAGATGACCTGGAA